ACTGCCTTCCGCGGTGTCGCGGCGTGGATTTTTCGGCTATAGGCTTGGTGCTACGTGGTGATGGACGGCGTTTGAAATGCCAAAAAAAATAATGCCGGTGCGGTAAATTATATTTATTAATAGAATTTAATGAAAAGAAAATGGGGTGTCGAAAAATGACTTTGTTACACCCCCCTCTTACTTCCGCTAAAAAAAATAAAAATGAAATTTTTATTATTTTTTCTAAATTTATCCCTAATTTTAGAAAGCGCACACCCCACGCAGGTTAAAAAAAAAACTTTATTTTGGGGTATGTTCACTTTTCACAAGAACTAAAAACTAGCTAAATCAAAATCAAGCATCTATACAAAATTTAAACATTCTTTAAAGCAAAACATCCCTGAAAAAATAGAAAATTAACATAAAAATGGTTCTGATTGCTTTCGGATTTTCAGTCTCAAGGCAGGAGATCACATTGGACGCTCTTGGAAATGGTTTCCGATCGTCGGAAAATATCGGGGAAATACATTTGCACCCCTCTTGATGCGGTACGATGTCCTGGAAGTGAACGGGATCGATGTCGCGGCGTTGCGGACAGGCGGCTTCTGCTGGTGACATTCTGCGGGCGATTTTCGCATGGGCAGTCTCTAGACATTATACCATATTGCCCACAACGGGAACAAAACAAGCGGCGTGTCCGGGTGCAGGTTTGGCGGGTATGGCCCGNTCTGCGGGCGATTTTCGCATGGGCAGTCTCTAGACATTATACCATATTGCCCACAACGGGAACAAAACAAGCGGCGTGTCCGGGTGCAGGTTTGGCGGGTGTGGCCCGGATATCCACATCTCCAGCATAACCTGTGTCGTTTTACCGGTAGATAGGTGGGATAATCTGGCGATGATCGTGGCGGCGGGCGGATTGGTTCAATGTCAGGTTCTGGCTGGTTTTCCAGAATTCTTGCGGGCGGTACCTCTAGGGAAACTCCTAATGCTGGAACAGTAACTTCTTGAACTTTGGTGCTTGTGGTGTTCCATGGTTGACGGTTGACGGACGATTGCCTTTTCTGCGCAGTTTGTTGCTGCGAAGGCTTGTACCGCTGACACTGCATACAACATCGTACATACTTGGCGATATCGCGGAACATACCAGGCCAATAGTACTTTTGTGACATGCGAGCGATGGTTTTAGCAATTCCCATATGTCCAGCGGACGGAGCATCATGGTTCTCTTGCAAAACCGCTGAGCGGAGCGGCATGGGGACGCATAGCTTCCATGGATCGGATAGGTCGGGTTCGGTTAAGTCGCTTGAATCCCAGAAGTGGCGGAACAGACGGTTATTGCGTATGCAATAATCCGGGAATGCTTCAGGGCTTCTTTCGACTTCCGACTTCTTCCTGCTATACCAAGAACAGTTTGGCGGCTCGTTCAGGACGCATAGTTCTTCGGTGCTTGGTGCAGAAGAAGTTCCTTCTATCGGCTGACGGGACAAAGCATCGGCTATTTGGTTTAGGGTTCCCTTGCGGTACTTAATTTCGAAGTCGTATTGCTGCAGGAATACGCTCCATCGGGCTAGGCGGCCCGCAGGACTTTTGATGGAATGCAGCCATCGCAGAGATTGATGGTCGGTCAGGACGGTGAAGTGATAGCCTTCAAGATACGGTCTCATCTTCTCTATGCCCCACACTATAGCCAAACACTCTCGTTCAGTGATGGAGTAATTCTTTTCGGCAGGCGACAGTGTGCGACTAGCATACGCTATCACTCGGTCGTATCCGTCGATATTCTGGATCAGAGCTGCTCCCAGTCCATGGTCGGAGGCATCGGTCTGGAGGGTAAACGGTTGTTCGAAGTCCGGGCAGGTTAAAATCGGAGCTTCGGTCAGGCAGTTCTTCAAGTGGTTGAAGGCTTCTTCTTGGTCACGGTCCACTTGAAACGGTGATTTTTCCGGAGTAAGTCGGGTTAACGGAGTCACAATCTGGGAAAATGACGGTACAAAGCGTCGGTACCAGGAAGCCATTCCTAGGAAGCGGCGGACGTCTCGGATGTTTCGAGGGGTGGGGAACTTCTTGATCGAGTCCACCTTTTCAGGATCTGTCTGAATCCCTCAGCGGTGACGATATGTCCTAGGTATTTGAGCGACTTCCTGCAGAACTCGCATTTGTCGGGGTTTAGCTGCAGGTTAGCCATTCGTAGTCGGCGGAATACTTCTCGTAAATTGTCCAGGTGTTCTTCAAAGGTTTCCCCTAATACAATGATGTCATCCAGGTAGGCAAACGCATAGGGTTCCATTTCCGGTCCAATGATCCTATCTAGGAGTCGTTGGAATGTAGCAGGAGCCGAGTGAAGTCCAAAAGGCATGACTCGAAACTGGAACAGGCCTCTGCCGGGGACGGTGAAAGCAGTGATCGGTTTGCTCTCGGCAGTAAGTGGAATCTGCCAGTATCCCTGCTTGAGGTCTAAACTGGAGATATATCTGGCCTTGCGGAGCTTGTCCAGTATCGCGTTGATGTACGGTAACGGGTAGGCGTCTTTCTCGGTAACCTCGTTGACTTTTCGGAAGTCGATGCAGAATCGAGGTTTTCCATCCTTTTTGCGGACGATGACGACGGGTGAACTCCACGGGCTGTCGGACGGCTCTATTATCCCGTTGTGCAGCATTTCATCAACTTCCTTGTTGATAATGTCCTGCATCCTCGGGTTTTGCGGGCGGTACCTTTGTTTGATTGGTTCGGACTGTGACAAGCGGATCTGGTGTTGTATCAAGCCAGTAGTACCATGTAAATCCTTGAAGCTAGGTAAATCGGTCTCCAAGAAGGATTCTAGCTTCTCTTCCTCCGTTGGTGATGTGGTTGACGACAGAACCTCCAAGGGATCTACATCGGGGCTTGGTGTCGACGAGATGACGGTATTATCCAGGCTAACGGTAGCAGCGGACGGATTTATCAAGAAATTGTGCTTGCGCAGGATGTCCATTCCTAGCACAACATCGGAGGATAAATTCGGGAGATACCATAGCCTCTCATCAAATTCTTTATTCCTTATCCGGAATTGGATCTGATAAACTTCGGTTACTGTCACCAAATTACCATTTGCTAGCTGAACGGCTGGTGCGGTAGCGGTCTCATAGTGTAGGCCCAGTTGGCGGATTCGATCTCCTACATATGAGCGTGCTGCTCCGGTGTCGATCAGGGCCAGGAAGGTTTTTCCTTGAATCCGGATTGGTACGTGCGGTCGATTGTCCGGGTGGTGGGCGGATATTGTTTGCGAGCCAAGACTAGGACGGAACGGTACAGGCCTCGTAACGGTACGGTTCCGGTCTAGTTTTCCGACTGGGAACATGAGCAGTCCCTTGTCATGATTCCAGACTGTCCACATCTGGAGCAGAAAAGGCGGGGTGGTGCTCGACATTGACTTCGAAAATGTCCACTCTTCCCACAACGCCAGCAGATAGCGTTGTGGTCATAAGGGACGTTGGCGGTGGAAGTCGACGGTTGTTCTTCTGGTGCACGGACGTCTCTCCTATTCTGAGGTCTAATCGGGGATGTCTCAATTGGTTGTTGTTCTGGTCGGGTTGTTCTTGGCGGATCAGATCTTACCACCGGAGTCGTCTGGGTCCTTGCTGGTGGTGGTGTTACGGGCGGTCGAACAGCTACTGGTGCCTGGTTACGGACGAAGTTAGGCGGAGATGGCGCGGTTGGTTTAGCAGGGCGGTTAGCCGCGATCTCTCTCTGCAGAGCTTCGTATTCCTCCACTTGACGAATCAGGTCACGTGGACTCTGGATCTCGCTTTGGCGGATGTACTGCCGGTATTCGGGAAGCAGATTTCCATACAGTCGTTGCAGGGCTCGGTCAGACGAGAATCCTCCATGTCGGCGTAGCAAAGTCTGTAAGGAGACTAGGTAGTCTCGGCCGGACTCCCCTACTTTCTGGCGGCGCTGGAATATTTGTTCTTCCAGGAACGATTCATAATTGGCGGGCAGGTAGAACTGTTTGAAGTCGCCAATAAAATCGTCCCAACAGTTCCATAAGTTGCGGTTGTTCCGGTACCAGGCTAAAGCGTTGCCTTGAAATATTTCATACAGGGCGGGTAATACGGCCGACGTTGGTATGTCGCTGTGTTCTTGGAATTCGCAGAGCTTCTCCAAGAACTCCACAGGATCGGTCCTTCCATTGAAGTGCAGGTTCCACTTCCTTACTCTCTCACATACTGTGCTGATGCTAAGCGGGGCTGAAAGGTTGCTGACCAGCGGTCCACCTGCTGTGGTCGGCACGACAAGCGGCGGTGGTGGTGGTACGACGAAAGCGGGGGCGGTGTGCCTGGGTTGCGGTGATGCACATCCGTCTTTAATGAACCTCACCAGTCGTTTCTTCTTTTCCTCTACGGTCCCGGAGACGTCTAGGCGGAATTTCTCCAGTTCCATGTCTAGTTGTTCCTCTCTGAGCTTATATATCCAGCTCAGTCGGAAATCTGTCAAGTCGGAGCTTCCGGGTTCTACGACTTGTTCAGGGTCGGACAAGATTCGGGTTTCTTCGCTGGACATCATGTCTGCTTCTGGTCTTGCGGTGGTGAAGGCTGCGGAGCTCCTCAGTTGCACGTCTGCTCGGTCTGAGGTCTCAGAACCACCTCTCCAGGTGCTATCTCTTCAATGCTTGAGTAGTTCGGGCTGAAAATATCAGCGTTAGATTCTGCGCCATCGACTTACTGCCAAAGGAGGGGTCACAAGCCAGGTACGGGTTGACACCGGATTTTCCGAAATTCCGGGTAAAATCCGGGGTGGCGGGTTCGGTCTCTAATATATGGTCGGCCGGAATGCCAGGGATCGCCGAAGGCAGGTTTCACCAAATTTCAGTCAGATTTGTGAGTTTGGTAAACGGTTTTACAGAACGGTTCGTCGGATCGGGATGAAACCAACGGCAATCGATTCTACGTCCCCAAGTTCCTATTCCACGAGGGGTCACACGCCTGGTAAAAATTTCGACCCGAGTCGCCAAGAGTTCCGGGCCAAATCCGGTAGGGCGGTAAAAAATGGTCTGGACGATGTCTTGGGATTCCAACGGCTTGCTGCTTCTGGTTTTTCTTGGTTTCGGCTTCCCACTTCGCTACGGCAGACCTATCTTCGAAACGGCTGATCGGATTCAACTCCAAGTGCCACCAATCGATTCCTGGGGTCGAATTACCATGAAAACGATACCCCACACGGAT